AGCCGGCTCAAGCTATCAAAAATCGTCTTGTAAACGCGTTCGGCCGTAGAGGTTGCACTCTGATAGTGCTGAGTTCCTTCATTCCCCGACCGTATAAACGTATCGGGCCAAAATCACGTTCTTTATCACCTTATTCAAATTACGTTCCATTCAAATCATGACATCTCGGGAGTCTATATTGTTTGTAATTTCTGTGCGGAAACTGTAGATGAACGAATTAACCCTTTTGATCGCGAAATTAGTGGTGTTTTTTGGCGGCGATTGAAACACACCCCTTGCTGCATGCTTTTATTTGCTAAGCGTACCGGTTTCTCAGATCCTAGATCCTGTCATGAAAGAAAATAGAAGCATTGGGATGGTCATCGTAAGACATCAATATCGAGGAGGTTTTATTGTCTGGATTAAATTTTTTAATATTAAAAATATATTAAGTAAGCGATTTAGCGTTCAGCTCTGAACGAACTGGGCCGGCTCTTACTTGGCGACTCAACCGTATGAACGTGGGCGCAAGCTAAAATCTCTTGAGTCGCGCTAGTGGGCAAACTAAGCAAATAACACTGAATGACGGCAAGGTAAATACTACGTTCAATTATAGTAAACATCTGAAACATGTACTGCGTGCGTGACTCGAACCAGCGCTCGCGTAGGGCACCTAATCGTCTAGCTTCACGCCACTGCACAAACTAGTCGTAAAGTGGCGTCAAGTGTGCATAAAGCCGTCGTGACTGCGTGCCATGTCGGGACGTGAATTTTGAAATGTTCAAAATTTTGGTCACGACAACCGGGTCGTGAACTATGCGCTGAACTGTGAACTCGCTGACGCCGATGCCATGCCACGACTGTCACGAACTGCCACGAATAGTTCACGAACAGCTCACGTCGAGTTCACGACATGTTCACGAATTGGTGCCTTCCCACTGACACCGTCACATTTACTTTACTGGACACTGCTCGCCAGGAGACAACTTATATTACAGAGACAACATGCCTAAAATAAATCCAATCCAAAAATGACCAGGGGTTGAGGAGGCCCCCTTTTTATATGACGTGCCCAAGTCGGCACGACACCGTCCGAATTGCACAATCTCGTCGTGCCAATGCGGGAAGTGCGTAAACTATGCGTGAACTTGTGTCAGTTCGTGTCAATGTGGACACTGATTGGCACGCATTCGTGAACTCGTCGTGAACTATGCGTGAACTTGTGAACAGTGCAGGAGCCTCCCAGTTCGTGCCCCAAAATGGCGCGACTTGCCACGACAAAATTATGGCCAAACGTCGTGCAAGTTTCAGCCTTGCTTTCGTTAGATAACTCGGTACACGGGATATATACATCTGTACAATTAGAATATTTTATTTGACTCGAAATAATGTAAGAAATTACATATCTTATGGCCAAAAACCAACACAGTAACGCACAAATACAACAATAATAAAATAAAAATTAAAAAGATGTTTAACAATTAGCATACATTTCTAAGATGTTATGTATATAGACTCCTAGACTGCTGGCAATGAAACTATCTTTTGAACTCATCAGCAACATGATCTGCTTAGGCAAACTTTGAAATTCTTTGTGCATTGAGATTGCTCTCATAAATTTGCACCTAGCAGATTCAATCTCTGGGTTCCT